GGGGGTGCACCTCTCTATGTTGGCTCACTCACAGGGAGAAGACAATTGTAGAGGACACAGTGTCATCCCTGTGGCCTAAGGACACTGACTCAGGCAGGCCATGACAAGGGAGCAGGGTTCACTGTGAGTCACCCCTATTTCTCTATCTGCCTCTCCAGGGAGAAACTCCCAGGAGGTTTCAGGGACACATGTCAAAGGCCCGTCTTATCCTGAGGCAAAAGGCTGGGCCCCAGAAGAGTAGAGCTTAACACACTTCACCTCTTGCTGAGACAAGCAGCCTCCCATCTGGGCAAAGGGCAGGGCAGAAGCAACTCAAGCTCCACTCTGAGAACAGTTTCCTTTTCCACCCCAGCTTGGGTTTCGGCCTGTTTGCTGATGCAGGGAGGTGTAACTGGACTGGGCTGGCCAGAGCATTTGAAGATGGACAATAAAGCCATGATGAAAATGATACTTGCCTTGTTTGATCCAGACCAGATAGTGTGCTCAGCATTTTCCCACCCATTATTCCATTTAATCTTCACGAGGAGGTGCGATTAGTAACCCCATCTTAGAGAGGTTACAAGGTGCAGAAGCAGTAGAGTGCTTTGCCCAAGGTCTCCCAGATGTCTAGTGGCAGGGTGGGACTGGAACCTGTGCAGAGGGGCAGGGTGTACTCTTCCTGACAGTCTCCCTAGAGCCTTGCCTTTCTCTTTTGTAGCTAGCCTGTACTCTCTTCACTGCTTCCAGGAAGCCTTCTGTGGTCTGTGTTCTCCTAGAGCCATGTGCTTATACGCCTTGACACTGCTCTGCTGCTTGTAGTTCCGAGACACTCATAGAGGAGAGTCCTTTTGGGAAGGAAGAACCCTTTACCAGAACATTTATTTATTTTGATTTTTCGAGACAGGGTTTCTCTGTATACTTTGGAGCCTCTCCTGGAACTCTCAGTAGACCAGGATGGCCTTCAACTCACAGAGATCCATCTGCTTCTGCCTCCCAAGTACTGGGATTTAAAGGTGTGTGCCACCACCTCCTGGCTTATTATTTTAATAAATAAGCTTGGTGGCAAGTGACCTTACCTTTTGAGCCACCTCTCTCTGGCCCCAGAATATTCTTTCTACCTCTTTGTTGCAGGAAGGGCCCCAGGCAAACCCTTGGTCCTCTCGATCTTGTCCCTCACACTCTTCAGAGCCACTGAGCTGTTTGGGACTAAATAGAGGTTTGAATATGTGAGGATGTTATGGTGGATTGGCTGGGGCAGATTGTTTAAACCTCTAGGGTCCCTACCTTGAACTGGAGGGCTTGTTCCAGAAGTTTCAGCACCTTATAGAGCTAAGTTCTAGTGCCCAGACCCTTCATGTCCAAGTATGTGTCAGGTAGTTGAGCAGGTAATCATGGTACCTGCTGAGTCAGGACCTGTGCTTACTATAGTATAAATAGGATTAAGTGGCTGAGGGGCCATCTTACCCCTGCCCTGGGCCCTGTTGACAGGCAACCTGGACACAGGGCATAGAGCTAGGCAATTGGTTCTGTGTGGACCAAGACATCCCTTTGCTCCATAGGCCAAAAGAAGGCTTGACATCAGGGCTGCTGGGACCCTGTCCAGAAGTTGGAAGTTTGGCTTCAGTTTTCTTTTCTTTCTGGTTTTTCTAGACATGATTTCTATGTGTAGTCCCAGCTGTCCTGGAACTTTGTAGAGCAGGCTGGCCATGAACTCTGAGATTTGTCTGCCTCTGCCTCCTGAGTGCAGGGATTGAAGGAGTGAGTATACCACCACCACCCAGCTGGCTTTGAGTTTTCTAGCTATAGTTCATGTTTGGGTGGGGAGGGCTATATATAGCCATTACCTATGAGATGCCACACCTGTAAAGGTAGGCACCACAGTTCCTCCTTCACAGGGCCTGACACTACCCATGGTGATGAACAGTCAGACATGCCTCAAAACCTCAGCTGACCACTTACTATCTTTGTGAACTTAGGGAAACAACCTAACTGGGAACTCACTTCTGAACTCTAAAATGGATAGAATGTCTTTAGCACTGGCTTGCTATGAGGATGGAATGACTCAAAGACAGCCTTCACAGATGCCCTGCCCAGTCCAGCCCAGGTGCTCTAGGCAGTAGTAATGTGCTCTCGGTTACCAAGGAAAGCCATGTCCCAGAACAAGGAAGTGGCTGAAACCTTAAGGAAATCAGGTAATGGCAGGTGGCTGCTTTTGAGCCCCTGGCTTAGGACAGCCTCTTCACCTGGGGCAGCTCTGCAAGTACTCCAGCTGGAGGTGGGGGTAGGGGTGGGACTGACTGAGAACCCAAGCATTAGGCCGATGAAAGCAAGGCCCACACTAAAGACCAAGTAGCATGGAGGAGGGAGAGTATAAATAAATACCAGATCTAAGCAGGGTGGGGGCATCTTAGTCCTCTTCCTCCAAGGAATAAGTGGCTCCTACAAAATCCTCCCAGCTCTGGCTGTACAGCACACAAGTGGAGGGACAAGGGGAGGTGGCAGCTCTTAACCCAAGAGAACAGTTGGCAATGTGGAAAAGGACTGTGGTGGTGGGCACACCAAAGGGATATGAGGTCTACCCAGAGCTGAGTCACTGTGAGGGTGACTAACAGTCTCCTGAGGCCCACAGCCATTTCTCCATTCCAAAGGGACCCCAGAAACAAAACAAGCCAAGAGTAAGCAGGAGACTATTATATATCATGCTTTTAATACAAACTTAAAAAAATCTGGAACAATATAAACTGTACAGATTTGATCAATCTTTGTTTTGAAACTAAATCTCTAAACACACCAATGTCTCATTCCAAAATATTGCACAACGTTCTGAATACAAAATGTCTTGATTGCATTCTTCCTTCACTAGAGAAAAAAAGGTCATCGCCCTGCTTCCAGCTCCTCTCCATGGCTGCTGCCTCAATGCCTATTCCCACCCCAGGGAGACCTACAGAATCAGGAAAAAGACAGCATTCTGGACTGACGGCTACATTCTTAGCAAGATGATCCACCTTCAGGTTTGCTCCTGGGTGAGAGGGCTAGAGAGGATGGGAAAGGGGAGGAAAAGGTTTTATGTTCCTATTTTTTAAAGTTTGTTTTTCCTGAAAAAATATTGGTTTCTCTCCTTTTTAAGAAAAAATCTTGAAAAGAAAAAAATTACGTTTCTTACATTAGAAATATACATATATTATATATACCTCTTACATTTTACAAATGTAGCAAATTATTCAATACAAACGGACACCAAAAAATGTAAAAAGTAAAAAAAAAGTTTTTCTATGAAACCAGGTAAATTAGTGCAGATTTTTTTTTCCTTAAAAAAAATAAAATTGAAGCAAAAATGTCTAGATTTGCGATGAGACACTGAACTGGGCCCAAGAGCCCAGCCCAGGAGTCACGTTCCTGAACACTCGCTTCTCTTCCTATATCAAATGACACAAGGGGCTGGGCTCCAGTCTCCCCTGTGTGAGAAAACAAGCTGGCTTGGGTGCAGGTGGTACCTGTGTGCACGTGGGAGGAGGGGCTGGAAGTGGGGGTAAGGCAACACCTGACTTGTCCCAGAGAGGCTATTGACCAGGGACTGAGGCTGAAGGAAGAGGAGGCCCAGATCGGGCTGGCTGGAGCAGACTAGGGACAGGTGGTGCTGGGCTGAGAACTCAGGGCCAGCCTTGCCCTGCTGGGGGAGGGAGGTAGAGCTAGTGCCCAATGCAAGGAGGGGGGTTGGCAGTGTCGGTCTGGGCTGAACTCACTGCCGCAGTAGTTCCTTCCCACACGAAGTCCCTGGAGAGGGTGGAGGTCAGGGCTTTGGTGCTTTCTGGTGATGGGGCTTCTCTTGTCTGCCCACAAGATCCTATCTCACAGCATCAAAGTCAAGTAGTGCTGGGTGAGGGCAGACACAGTATGGCAAGAGACAGGAACCAAGAAGTTCTCAGATGGTGCAAATGCGTTTACACCTACAACCAAAAATCACAAAGTCTCAATTCAAGGCTCAGTAATGCCCACCACAGGCACTGACTCCAAATTCTCTCCCTGTCCTTACCCTGGGCTAAGGTCACACAACAGAGTTGCTGAAGTCTAGGGACTCCTCTTAGGCATCAGGTTTGGGTATCCCTCACGCCATTCTGAGTTTTTTTGTTTTTGTTTTGTTTTTTGTTTTTTTTTTTTTTTTGGTCAAAAACAAACGAAAGTGCAGATCCCTCCGCAGTCTGGAAAACCAGTTCCTTGTGCAGTGCTTTCCCCTGGAGTTTCTTAGGCTTAGCCATTGTCACCCCACCACATACACTGCCCTACAGCCTTACAAATGGACTATCAATCCACCCTGGGCTCATCCACCAGCCTTGTACATAAATAAGCACTTGTTGCAACCCAGATTCATACCCAGAGAGAGAAGTTCCATGTGACTTGGAATCCTTTAGAACATGACAGCAAGCCACACACATTCACAGGCATGAATGCACACACAAAAACACACACACTTACCCCTACCTCTATACTTTACCCTAACCTCAGGCTCAGGGAAAGGCTGCACTGGAGAAGGAGAGGCTACATACATGGTGTCCAGGCCAGGAGGGAGTGAGGGATGGGGCCACAGGACAGAGAAGGATTCCAACTAGAATAAGTGCTAACCTCCCTATGGTCACAGATATTAGCTTTAGGGGGAGGGTGTCAAGTGGCCAGTCAGCAGCTCCCTGTGGCCCAGCCTGAGGGGGAGTTGAAGCTAGGGCCAGACATATTCGGGTGGCAGGGCCTGAGAAGATAGCTAGTGTAGAGGTCATGGACACAAGGCCAGCCTCTCCCTGCTCCAGGGACATCTGGTTCCAGCTGCTGTTCTTCCCTGTGAGCTTGAACACACCAATCCCAAAGGAGCATGAAGGAGGGAGAGTGGGGAAGCAGCAATTCACATCTGGACCATTCTCAGCGCAGGAAACCACTAATTAAAGATGTCATATAGAAAACTACATGTAACCAAAAAAAAAAAAAAAAAAAAAAAAAAAAAAAAAAAAAAAAAAA